CCAGCCTGGCCAGATCCCTTTGAAGACACTTCCTACCCTCAGGCAGATCAAAACTCCCACCCAACTTGATGCCATAGAGAGAGGGAGAGTTAAACAGAAAAGCAGAAAAAAATAGCATTTAAAGTTATGTCTATTGGCATGAGAGCTGTGAGTGGGAGCCTGACAGCTTCTTCGGAGATAGACCAGACGGCAAGTGAAAGCTCTGTGAGTATGCCAAGGATGAGGAAGACAAAAATGAGCATCAGTCTACTACTTAGTACATGGCCAAAGTATTCAACGTCTTTTCTTCCTGTATTTTTAATACTAAAAGGACTAGCTGTGACCAGAAACTTGAAGAACAGAAAACAAAATTCATCCCACACTACTTAAAGACCTGTGATAATTATTTGCAAGGTTTATTGGAAAGTGGAAACACTGACAGAAATGAGTCAGGGCAAAAGAAACGTCTCAAGAGGGGAACAGAAGGGAAACTGCTGCCCAGGCAGACTTGCTTCAGCTCTATAATATCTATAAAATGAATTATTAAACAATCAATTTGCAGCCACCTAAAAGGTAATAAGGGGATAACAACAGCTGACATGAGTCCTGAAAACCAAATTATCCTAAAGGAGTGTAATTTGCCTTCAGGAATCACAGGTCCCAGAGACTGAGGGGAAAGGCTAGGCAAGGAAGATGCACCCTTGGTGGATGAGGATGAGGTCAGGGAATACTTAACTAACCTCATAAGCACATACATAAGGGCACATACATAAGCCCTTGGGCCCTGATGGGATGTACCCACAAGTGCTGAGGGAGCTGACAGATGTCATTGCAAAGCCACTCTTAATCAGTTTTGATCAATCATGGAAAGTGGGAGAAGCGCCCAAGGACTGGAGGAAAGCACGTCACCCCCATCTCCAAGAATGATGACCCAGGAAACTACAGGCTATTCAGCCTCACCCCAATCCCTGGGAAGGTGGGGGAGCAGCTAATGGTGGAAACTGTCTCCAGGCACATCAAGGACGAAGAAATCACCAGAAATAGTCAGCATGGCTGAGGCATGGCATGGCGAGGCAGGAGCGCTGCAGGAATGGGCACTAAATGGAGCCACAGGGATGCCAGCAGTGCCGTGCTCCAAAAAAATTTCACTCAGGAGAGCGGTGGGTAAGACACGGAGGCTGCGGCGGGGAGCCCGCAGAGACTATGGGCACTGTCTTCAAGTGCTGTGTTTTGAGCTGAATTTGGACAAATGGAGTACAGAGGCAGTAACGAAAAGGAAGAACTCTGGGAAATGTGGAGAAGGGGAGGTTTTGGAGGCAGCACTCTGGCTGCTCCCGCGGTTTCATTCTCCTGGCCACGCAAAACGAAGACAGCATTTAAAAAAACTGCAGCGTTGCCCTTTTCTTTGTGCTGCATTTCACATTTCCAGATCTGTTCATGCCCTCCTTGGTGATGTTGTCAGGCTTGGGAAAGGATGCGATGCTGAAGCAGACTCTCGTGATGGCAGGTAGTCACACGCTTGTACGTACATGTACTCTAAGTTTGCACAGCATGCTGCTAATGTCAACTGGCCAGTCCAAGGGTCTTGTGTCCCATTGCATTTATAATAAAGCGTGACGGCTGTGTGTCACCTGGCGTTTATATATAGGGACTTCACAGGAGCAACTTTTATTTTATTAGGGGACACACTTTCACAGGAGTCCTTGCAGCCGAGCGCTCCAACTTTTATTTTATTAGGGGACACCACAGGAGTCCTTGCAGCCGAGCGCTAAGCAGAGTGCATGAGAGGAGAGATGAACATCCTAAAAGACATTTATAGATCTGCGTTTCCAGTCCTTTCCTCTTCGGTATGAAAGCAATTCTACAAAAGGATTACTTTGACTGGCTGTTCAAGATTTCCAGAGGAGGAGATTAATGTGCAAGAAGCCTTGCAGTGCAACTGGAAAAGCTCGCTGGCTTTGCACATTTTCACGGGCTTCGTGGCTCGCTGTGTCAAGGTTATCTTCCTCCAGCAGGGAGATGTGGATGTCAGACAGCAATGCAGCGAGCAGCAGGGCTGGGGTCTGACAGCAGCTACCGAAGAGCAGAATTACCTGTGCCTGGAGATCACCCACTGCACCAGGGGGGTGACAGTGTCCCTGTGTGTATACCGCAAAAGAAGGGGAGGCAAGAGTCACCCAGCCTTTTAGGTTTCAGAGAAAGGGAGTACTTTAACATGTAAATATGGCAGAAACTGTTTGCAGAGTCATTTTGGCTCCACTTAGCCCTCCCTTGCCAAGGCAATTCCCCAAATTGCAAAAAAATTGCCAGAACTCCTTCCATCCTGCAACTATTCCAGCACCAAGGGATATGAAAAGACAGTATTCCACCCCCCAGTGGGGGTTTCTTCTCTGTCCATTTATATTTACGATAGTGTTGCTCTGCCGTGGTAAAGGGACGTGACTTCTTCAGTGTCTCTCATACCCACTTGATTTCCTCTGCTTTTCCTGAAGCAGAGCCCTCAGAGTGACGTTGCAGTGCTGAGCAGTGTCAGCAGTGAGATGGGAATGGGAAGGGGCAGAGCAGAAGAGCAAAGTGGGAATGAGGATATGGTGAGAGACACTGAGAGGCAGGAATTATGCATTATGGTGATTTTGAACCTTAGCAACATGATTCGTACTGCCTTTATAAAACTCCTGCCAAATTGCAACCACTCTTGGAGGTCTTTGAAAGTAGGGAAGAGTGTGCGTTTTCCATGGAAAGTTGGAGGCTTGCTGTCTCAGAGTGTCTTATCTGCTTTTGCTGCTCCTTGTAAATCAACCACAAGCTGCCTGGTAGGTTTATACCGGTGTAGAACAGGCAGAAGAGAAAGAAGGATCAGTGCCTGCTGTGGGAGAGCAGCTGAGATTTATCCTGCTGTGGATGCCCTGAGGACCTGTGCCATCTCCTTTGCCCTCTCCCGTCAGCAGCTCCCTCCTGTCTGCCTGTGTCCGTGCACAGGTCCTTTCCTCATGGTCACAGCACTGGTCTCCGCTCAGGCGATATTCCTCTTGTGGCTTAATTCCGTAACGCTTTTAGGTGGCAGGTTTCCCTCCTCAGAAGATTAGTAGAAGCTTAGCATTAAATACCAGCTATGGTCAGTGCTCTGTAGACCACAAAACAAAAACTTTGATGCTTAAGTAATAAAAGATGGTTTTGTGGGGAAAAAGAAAACTTCAGTCTTAATAAAAGCATTCTCAAAGTGCTGTTGTGCTTTCCTTTTTGTTCTTGATTGTTTATTTTTCTCCCATAAAGTAAATTTGCCAGAAGTTAAATATCTGGAGACAATATCACAAGCCAAATCTCAACTTAGATACTATTTATGGCCTTGCTGCTCAGAGTCATGTCTGCAAATGCTATAGGGAAAGTATCCTAGGAAAACAGCTGCCTTCTATTAAGTTAATTCACAGATTCACAGAGTGGAGGGGGTTGGAAGGGCCCTCTAGAGATCATCTAGACCAACCCCCCTGCCAGAGTAGGATCACCTAGAGTAGATCACACAGGAACAAGTCCAGGCAGCTTTGGAAAGTCTCCAGGGAAGGAGACTCCACCCCCTCTCTGGGCAGCCTGTTCAGTGCTCTGTCACCCTCACAGTGAAGCAGGGTTTCCTCATGTTCAGGTTGAACCTTCTGTTTTCCAGTGTATGGCCACTGGCCCCAGTCGTGTCACTGGACACCACTGAGAACAGAAGGCCAGAACTCACGGTGGTAATCACCTGTCCTCCAGCCAGTGTGTTTCTGTGTATTTGCTTGTACTCGGAGAGTTTTCCATATTTGAACAGTACAGACAATAATAATTTGCATGGTGGAGAGACTGGATAAAAACACCGTTGTAGGCAAATGCATCCCCATTGAACACGATGGATTTCGCAGCTTGGCACCTGCTGGGAACTCCTACCATCCAGAGAGAGGTAACCAGCTACCCGGCCATGGTTTGGATGCTGGGTAACACTCAGACCTTCTGGATAGTATGTGGGGGAGTATGGACAGACAGCTGAGGCAAAAGTTGTCCAGGGCTCAGTCCAGTGAAAATGTTATTTTATTAGTGTTAAATCCCTACTCAAGGTAAGGATTTTTCATAAAGCCCTGTCAGATTATGGGCAAACAGGAGCGGAGTGGTTGCGTTTGGCGAGTGGGCTTTGCATGAGGATGCTTTTCAGACACCTGGCAGAAGCTGTGAGACCTTCTGTAGCCATCCGCTTCCCTGCCGTTGCCATCATGGGGTCGAAGCTAAGGTACAAACATGCTGCAGCACTGATGTTCAGCCATATTTGGCTCAAACAGCTAAAACTGGGGTACAGTTGTCTCAGCCTGTAAAATGTTGAATTCTGGCAGCTGCCACTGTCTTGCAGGGAGTTATTTGTAGGGGAATAACTCAGGATCCATCCCTGGTAATGAAGGACATCTTTGTGCCCACCTGCGCTGCTCACAGCATTGTGTAGTGCCCGTTCAAATATACCACCTGGATCAGGAGCTATTGCTTGTGACCTGGAGACGTGGAGTCTCCTCGCTGGTGAGGCTGATGGAGATGTGTCCAGGAAGGGCACACACCTGAGAGCAGCAGCATCACTGGGTCTCACCAACATTATTTCATCCTCCAGCTACTTGTGGGATGGTCGAGCAGTTGCAGGCAATGACAGGGTCCAGCTTTTCCACACAGCTAGCCAAATGCTCAGGCGTATTTTAGATATCAAGGTTGCTTTTTTGCTCCTGTGCAGTAAGGGCAATAGATACGTTTCCACATTACATATCCTTTTAGATGACAGACATATAATCTCCTGTTTTTCTGCACTTCATCTGTATATGATGAGTGAGAAAGCGAGCAAGCGAGCCACAGGGTGCTGCCACTCTCCTGTGAAGCCATAGGAAGTGTTTCATGATTCAAGATAAGAAAGACCTTCACTTCCTCCTTCTGTACTTACAGGGCTGAACTGCCACTGAGGCTGCACCGTCCACCCCAACAGCCCTCTCGCAAAATGGACCAGGAAGCCCTGGGAAGAGTTGTCCTGCTTGCCATCGTCACCTTGATAAGTGTTGTCCAGAATGGTAAGACAAAAATAATCATTTATTTACGGGCTAAAAGGGAACTGGAAAAAAGTTCAGGATGATGTATGCTGATTTGATCTTGGGATAGATAATCTCTGGTTATAAGTGCGTGTGTTCTTAGGCTTGACTTTGGCTTTAGAAATGATCTTTTAAGCATATAATTCTGCATGCTTGTTGTTGCAGTGTCTTGGCAGTCTCATGGTCCTATTTTGTGATATGCTAGAATGAATTTTTTATACATATATCAGCTATTGAAAGGACTAATATTCTGGGGTACCCTGTGGGAATATGCAGTTCGATTTGATGACTGAGACCTCCTTTTCTGGCTAAACTCCCTAATCCAGGCAGCCAGGGCAGCTCTCCAGCTGGAACCTTGCCGCCATGGGCAGGGGCCGGGGCTGCGGTGGTCTCTCATGGGTCAGAACTTTGCAGAGAGCTGGGTGAAGGGGGCAAAACTGCATCGATTCATCCGAGGAGTCTGGTTATTTGTGGGCAGGCAGCTCTCCTGCTTTCCTGCGTCGCCAGGTCCTACAGTCCATCTAATCTCAATTAACTGCGGTCCCAAGAACACTGCGCATTTCCTGCAATGGAGAAGTTTCCTTTTTAAGTGCTTATTCAGGCCTCTATGGTCCCTGCTATTCTTCAATATTTCTTAAATAGAAAAACCCACTAAACCAGGTTTCTCTCTTGTGCAAATCTGATTGCACAGGCTTAATCGTCATCTCTTACAAGTACTTAACCACGTTAGGAGAAAATTCTGCCCAGAACACAGAGAGGGAGTGAGTTTTGCCCCAGCTGCACTGAGATCACCCAGGTTCCAGGAGAATGCAGTGGGATAGGGTGCTGATGCAAATGCGAGAAACCTGTGAAACCTTCTTGGTGCAGATGGGAGATTCCCACTGAGCGTCAGACCCTTGTTCGGTCTGAGGAAATGGGCTATTCTTGGGCTGCTGCACAGAGGGGAAGTGGTGGTAGCTTCAGCAGAAGCCTGGCTGCCAGAGAGGAAAAAAAAAAAAAAAAAGAGATGCACACTGGTTTAGTTTCAACATAGGCACTAAATGCCACACTGTTTAACCCAATGCTGTTTTCTGGTAAATGCACAGCGTGTGACATACCAGAATATGGCACGTTGAGATCAGCGTACATACCGCAGGTGAAAAAATCTAAGTATACATTTCTCCCTATTTAACCAGATTACTTTATATACAGGGTTAATTCCTCTCAGTCTGAAACTCAGGCATTTGCCTTGCAGCCTGACACACACTTTCATCTCATGGAAATCTGTCTGTGAGATTCCTGACCCAACTGCTGTAAACGGGCAGCGCGATGCTCGGCAGAGGATTTAGTGTGCCAAGCACGAGTGACACACAGCCCTAAACTATGATTTCAGACCTTGCATCATCTGATCTCCTCCTCCCAGGCTTTCTGTCTAAAAGACCAGACTGATAAGCGGTCCTGCAATGAATGCAATAATTAAGGTCGTAGAAATGCTTGTCAAGGGACATCAGTTGTACTGAACTCTTGCTATGGCTCTGGTTCAGCAAAGCACTTGGGCCTCTGCTTGACTGTCTTGAAGTATGTGAAATCAGTACCGCGTAAACTCAGGTTTATATGCTTTTCTGCATCTGGTGCAGAATTAGAAAGCAGTTCCGGGGAATGCTGTTTTCCCTGAAGCTGGAGGTGGGCTGTGGTACCACCCCAGTCTGACATCGATTTACGGTCACCTTGTTCATGCTGGGAATCTCCATATCCTACAGAATGACTCATATGGCCGGATGCCTCTGAATCACACATGTAGCTTCAGGTTTTGTTCTTGCATCAGGGTGATGTTGCAATTCAGCAGCTTTCAGGACAAATCAGTGGTCATTGCTGAGCAGATCAGGATGAAGGAAGCAAAGCAAAGTCAGCGGGGAGAAGGGGCAACCTGCACATTTATCAGCACTCGCTAGGTTGGAGCATCAGCGCACGGTTTCTGTTGGCATGAACTTGTGAAACAACCAGGCTTGGGTTGAAGCCTTGCGCATTCACTTGGCCAGTGTGGGACTGCAGTGGTTCAGGCTCAGGGCAGCCTGTGCAGCCCTGGAGCCTCAGGGCATCATCTCCTGGTGCAGCTGAGCTGAACTAAACCCCTCAGCTCCAGCCCTACTCCACTCACTTCTCATGCCAGCTTGTGAAACCACCCCCTTGCCTTGATGTTCAGAGTAAAGAGCAGGAAATATAACACCGTGTTGCAAACTGCTTCACACTGCAGCCTCCCGTTTCCCCAGTGCCAGGTTAGCAGGAGCCCAGGGCTGCTGAGATGGGAGAGCAGACCTGCAGCGAGAGCCACCCCTCCATGTGGTCTTTCAGCTCTGCTCCTGTCCCAGCTGAACCTCAGGCAGCCAGGTCCTACCTCTTGGGCTCCCTTTTGGGAAGATTTTGGGGGACTGCAGCATGTGAGGTGGACAGGGCTAAGGAGCCACAAAACCAGAGAGCCACTTTCAGGGCATAAAGCTCACTTGAAGCAGGAGGCCTTACCTCTCTGTATGATGGTTAGATGCCGCGTTCCCCTCTGATCCACTGCCCTCTGCTGGGGGTCTACATGGTCCTGAGGAAATACCATCGCTGTGGTGGGTTGGAGGTAATTGACCCAGGAATTTTCACTAGCTAAGAGATGCATACCTCATGCAAGGTGGTTGTCTAAGCTCTTTCTTGAATCAATGGAGATAGATCAGCACTTCAATGGGTGGTTTCTCTCATGCTGGTAGCTTTCTGAGGCATGGGTTGACCTGAGGTGCCTTTCTTCTGTTTCCCTCTGTCACATACTGTTTACAGAAGGAAAACATCCACCTCCCCAACACTCTGCAGTGTCTTTCAAGTGAGGTGACACAAAGCCTCCTCCTCACTCATGGTGTGGGTGTGCATGATAACCCTACCTCTGTCCTTTGCCCTGCTGCCCAGTCCATTGACCAAGCACCCACCCGCCACACTGGAGACAGCAAGAGCTTCCAGGACAAAGGCCTGGACCTCCACAGCCAGACCCTTCCCAGGAGGCCCAGCATTCACATGCCTGCCCAGCCTTGATCCCAGAGACTGTCCACCAGGAGTGTCACCACCGTCACCTCCAGGTCCTTGTCCTCAGTGACCATCATCACTCTGGACATGTCTGTGTTCAGCCTGATGGCTCTCAGCATCGCGGAGCCTCTGCAGTGGCACACTGGAATTTGGGGAGTGCCAGCACCTGCGGCAGCAAAGAGGCAGATACATATAGCTTACTCTCGGTTTTCTCTGAAGCTGTTGGCATCTTCTAGAGATTTCACATATATGCTAGAAGGAAGGAAGGAGATATCCCAGTGAGCCCATGCAGTCCCAAACCCGCAGGAAGTGGTTTTCCATGACAGCAGCTTTGCACTGTACGAAAACATTACCACCAAACCTAGTCCTCTTCAGCTAGGTCTTCCTAGACCCTGTAGGCAGGTTAACAACCCCATGCCAAAGGCTGGCATGCAGATGGAGATGCTGGGAGCTTTTGGTGGCTGTGCTGTCTGCTCTGGGTCCTCCAGGGCCAGGTCCCCCAGAAGCTGCCCAGTGCCCCGCACCAGTGGCAGTGGGAGGGCCTGCAGCCGGGCTCAGGGTGGAGATGCTGGCTTAAAGCTCTGCAGGTTCTTCTGGAGAAAGGCTGTATGTTTCCAGGGAATCATGCAATATTGGAAGGCCAAAAAACTCAGAAGCTTTTCGCAAAGGCAGAGGAAGTACAAAAGACCTATTTAACAACACCAGTGAGGGGAAAAAAGAGGAAACTCTTCAGGGATGAAATCCTGCAGTTTATCAAGTTACACCTCTGTTGTTATAATAATGTCTAAAGCCTGATGGGTTATCTTTTATATATATATTTTTGGCTGATATGCTAAACCACAGGGTGATCTGGGTACACTGAGATGGGATGCACGACTTGTAGCTTGATGCTCTCAGCTTGCAGCCTGTCCGGGCTCTGTCTGGTGTATTGAGACAGACGATTGATGGTCTCTGGTTTAGTGTCATCAGATAAAAGGCGTTTGTCAAGCGCATGATACATTATCTGGAGGTGCTGCATTTCTGCAGCAGCTAACACCCTCACTCAAGGCTGTTACTTAAAAGGATGATGCACACAATAAGGACACAGCGATCAGGACCAGGTTTTCTATGTGCCTTCTCGGAAAAGGAACCAGTTCTGCAGGTTCACTGGTTTGGCAAATGGTCTCACTGAAAGAGAAGAGACTTCCTTGTCTCCCTGCTCTATTAGAGAGTGAGAGCTGACTTTGGCAGCTTTGTCTAGAAAGCTTTTTTCCCATTGGGGGCACAAAAGGAGGAGTCTGGACTGTACTGCAGCAGAGGTGTGGGCTGCCAGAAGTGCTGCATTGGGATGGAGCCAGGGTCAGAGGTGAGAGCCTGTTGCAAGTCACACAGGGACACATGGGGATGTTTGAGGCCACATCACATTGCACCCCTGCACAGAGAGTTTGGTTATAGTACAGTGACAGAGTGAGCATGCTGGCCACATCCTGCACCTCCACGTGTCTGCGTCCCCTCCTGCCATCCAGCCTGGATGCTCATGAGAACACAGCTGAGCCCACAAAGCCCAGCTTCTGCAGTATCTCCAAATTACATCTCAGATCGAATACTCTTGTGTTTTTTAACAGCATTTTTTGCTAGCAAAGTGGAGCATGAAAGCAAACACTGCAATGGCAAGGGGTTCCAGCGGCCGGGATCCTCCGCCTTTGACCGCGTCTACACTGCCAAGTGAGTAGGCAAGCTCGGAGGAGGTAGTGGGGGTGGAGCAGGGTTCATCTCTCTCTGCTTTAGCATTTAATCCAAACCCTTTTGGGGTCTAGACGTGGTCCCCAAATGCTCTCAGAGGCAAGCTTTCCTCTGCAGTCCCATTGCTGTGATGTGCAGACCTGCGGTTCTCCGGTATGTTTACTGATGATCCCAGCTCCTTTCTGGACACCAGGTGCTGTATTTCTGTTGGACTTGCAGCCCTTATATCCCTTCATTTGGGAGCCTGTTTGCCTGACAGTAGCTAGTGCTGGTAGTGTGATACAAGCACAACCAGTGTCCCAAGGGCACTGCAGCTCAAAAGGAAAGAGCCAACAGAGAGATGCTGACTTGCTGAGGAGCAGGTCAGTGAGAAAGCTCACACAAAACCCGTGGTACCCGAGTAGCTCCCTTGGCTTGCAGCTCTCCACTTCTCCACCACATCCATACCTCTTGTCTTTGCTATCCCTTCAGAGAGAGCAGAGGGGAAAATTAATTCCAACCCAGAAGAGAAAAGAACATAAAATATTTTTTGTTACCCATGAAGTACTGATGATGTGCTTGAAACTGGACAGGACGTCCAAGTGCTGCCCTTCACAGGTGTGTGGCCTCTGCCAAAGGCAGAGTGTTTCCCCCTCAGAAAGCATTCCCAGATGAAGGAGCCAGCTGGGAATCATTCCTGTCCCCTGCAAAGAGGCACATTAACTCAGTCAGACACTCCTATTTGCAGTGTGATTTTCCTTTTGCTGGTTTCATGCAGCTTTCAATGGCAATAACCTGATTAGTATGACTTAATTGCAAGGACTTTCCAAGCCAAAAAAGCACACAGCATCTATTATGCACGAGCCATGATCAAACAGGTTAGAAGAGGAAAGCAGCTTTCACAGGTGCCAGGCATGTGCACAGGGCGGTTGGTTTTCCTCATCAGGCAGGACAAAGGCATCCTTTATCCGAGCGAGGAAACAGGGAAGCTGGCCTGCGGGTGAGGCAGCCGTTGGTGTTCGGGCAGGGACACGCCAGCCAGCCCCTGGCAGCAGCGTTAGCACAGCCCAAATTGACACCCCGCCATCCTTTGCTCATGAAACATGTTGATTTTGTTTCTATTTTCCCCGTGTTCTGATTTCCCTCTGACAAATTTCTTTCCAGCCAGAACTGTGGACACGCGTACCCTACGTTTCTGGCTGTGATGTGGTGTGCTGGCCTTCTCTGCAGCCAAGGTAACACATGGGACTTCAGACCTTGAACCACTTTCCGCAAGGGATAGCGAGCATTTGGAGGTTATGCTTCCAGAGACCAAATTCTCCCACAGCAGGGAGACCAGTCTCACACGGCTGTCCTGCAGATACCTATGCTGCTTGTTTCCTTAGCAGCACACTCCCTGGTAACTTTTGTGCCAACAGACATGTTCCCAGACATGATCCCAGACAGTCTGGGGCAGGGACATTTCCCATATAGGCATTACAGGGGAGATCCCTCTGTTTTGGGTGGAGGGTTTAGTACTTGGATGCTGGATGCTGTGTTATTCATCCCCAGGACTAAAATGGGCTCATCTAGAAATTGTCAGAGCTGCCAGCCCTTCCCAGCGCTGAGGTCAGCCCAGGAGTATTTACCTGCATTTCCAAATATGATCCCCTTTAGTGCAACTTAAGTTTTCTGAAAGTTGAGTGCTTCCCTGGGGTCTGTAGCTCTTCTTTCTGGAAGAGAGGAGTGTCCTGACTCAGAGAAGAAGAGCTATTGCCTGTGTGGAGAAAGCTAGATTTAGGGGGAAAAAGGGAAAATCCTTTTTACATGCCCAGTATTGGACCATAGCATAGTCTTCCGCCTGCTCCCAGAGAAGTACATCTATTGGCTGCCTTCTATTTCTGGTGGAGGCAGAGCCTGAGCCATCACCTCCCTTGCTAAGCCCAGCATGGCACACACCGGGTTTGTGCAGCGGGCGCAGCTGCAGGCAGGATTACACCCCCAAAGTCTCCAGAGAAGCCGGTGTGATGGCAAGGTGAGCGCTCCGTTTCCCACATAAAGGTCTCTGTCCTGCTTCCAGAGACCATCCTGTAGCCCAGGCAGCAGACGGGGATGGTATGTGCGGGGATATCTGTGCTGGTGTCTGTAACGTGTTGTTTTACCCTTTTCCCAGCTCCTGCCGCCTTTGCCGGCCTGATGTACCTGTTTGTGAGGCAGAAGTACTTTGTGGGCTACCTCGGGGAAAGGACTCAGAGGTAAGGACTTGCAGAGCACCTTTGTGGAGCCCTCAGCATCAGAAGGTTATTGACCAGTTGGAGCAAGTCCAGAGGAGGCCACGACGATGCTCCGAGGCCTGGAGCACCTCTGCTATGGGGACAGGCTGAGAGAGTTGGGCTTGTTCAGCCTGCAGAAGAGAAGGCTCTGGGGAGACGTTATAGCACCTTCCAGTACCTGAAGGGGCTACAAGGAAGCTGGGGGGGGACTTTTTACAAGGGCCTGTAGTGACAGAACAAGGGGAAACGGGGTTAAATTGAAAGTGGGGAGGTTTAGATTAGATATCAGGAAGAAGTTCTTCCTGGAGAGGGTGGTGAGGCCCTGGCACAGGTTGCCCAGAGATGCTGTGGATGCCCCATCCCTGGAAGTGTTCAAGGCCAGGCTGGATGAGGCTTTGAGCAACCTGGTCTAGTGGAAGGTGTCCCTGCCCATGGCAGGGGGGTTGGAACTAGATGGTCTTTAAGGTCCCATCCAACCCAAACCACTCTGTGATTCTATGTGGGAGGTGTGGTGGCACTGGGAGGCAGGGGAGCTGCAGGAACAGAGCGGCTGCTTCAGCAGCTCCTGCCCACAGCCTCCGCAAACACACATTGTTGCGTTTGTGCCACTATTTGCACAAGATCCTCCTTTTATGTTGATAAAATTTATGCACATGTGAAACAAGATTGTGCCGCAGCCTGTGATGGATGAGAAAACATATGGGTCCCTCTGAAGAGCCACTTCTGTAAGCAGCAGCCTGTGCGGAGCACGGGAGGCCAAATCCAGACCCAACCAGACCCTGAAAATGGCATGTGAGAGCTCACAGCTGGCCAGAGCAGCAATGCGAGGCCGAGCAGAAATTTGCCCCCTTTGTTTCAGCCCCCGAGGTGTTTCAGCTGGTGTCAACAGCGGAGTCCAAATTCTGAGGGCTTCTCATGTGAGGTGATGTGTGTTAATGGATTGCTTTCCCCCCTTTCTGTCTCCTCAGCACTCCCGGTTACTTGTTTGGAAAGCGCATCATTTTGTTCCTGTTCCTCATGTCCGTGGCTGGAATACTCAACTACTATCTCATCTTCTTTTTCGGAAGTGACTTTGAAATGCACATAAAAACGATAACCAGCGCGATCTCTCCATTGCTGCTCATCCCGTAGCTCCCTGCAGCACTGTGAGGGTCAGCGTGCTTAATATATCCATACCCAGAAGCAGCCATAATTCAACTGTTTAAGAAATGAACCCATAACCCTTTTAGATTGCTGTAAATCTCATGCTTGATGGGCTTTGTAGTTTGGTTTAACCTTGCTTTTTCCTTCAGGAAAAAGATTTATTGTGCGCACTTCGGCATGCCCAAGGAATGGTAACAACTTCCAGTTAATTCTTTAAGGGTTTTATTCCATATGTGCATCTTGCAAGCTGACTGCATGGCTGGAAGGGACATTGTATGCTTGCTTCATAACTGCATTGCACTTAGCTTTTGTCCCAAACCCCAGAAGCCTCTCAGCGTCGTTATTAACTGATGTGTCCTGCAGTTGTCCTCACACACAGGTACAGGCTTTCTCCGGCATCCTGCCCACCCCTGTGCACACAAAAGCACAGGCCAGCCCCTTTACCCACCCTTTTCCTACCACTTGTTGATGACCAAGCTCCTGCTGCTGCAGGAGGGCAGCAAATTGGCCCCTGCCTGGTCTCCCTTGATAAATATTCATGTGCGTAATGCTCCCGACACTGATCTCATTTACACTTTAGCCTTTTTGTTCTCCCAGAGCTGTGGGAAGGGGTCTTGCTTGAATGAGGAGCTGCTGTATTGACAGTTGGGTTGGTTTTATTTTGCCTGGCTTTGTTTAATAAAACAGCCTAAAAGGATGAAATCTGTTTGCTCCCATCTTCTTTGCCTGGTGTGTGATCCCAGTGCTCCACAGCTCGGCAGCTGGCCGGTGAGGTTAAACCCAGCCTTGCAAGGACACGGGTTTAACAACTCCCTCTCTATTAGCACATCCAATTTTCTGCCTCCATCACCAACACTGTGCCCCTACAAATCCATACTGAGGAGCAGTTTGATTAGAGAAGTGGACCAAGGTAGGCAAACAGGCCGGTGCAATCTTTTTAAACATTGCTACCCTATGAGTGCTTAAGCTCTTAAGCCTGATTAGCCCATGCAGGATGGACAAAGCTGTATTTTATGACTCTTTGGGAGGGGCAGAGACTCCTCACTATGTGAGAAGAAGGTTTGCAGAGCTGTTGGCAAAAGCCAGCGCAGAAAGTTGCTGGCCTCTGTACCACACTGAGACTGGTGGGTTTTGCTGCTGCCCAATGGGTCAGAGGCACTTGTGCACGGTTGCTCTCCTCGGCACCTGACCGTTTGCACTGCCAAAATATCACACCCCCTTTTTTTCTTACCTTCTGCAGGAATTTTACATGTGAAAGATTAGTAATGAACATGTTTATTGCATGATGATTAGGTAATACATGTTTTTACTGGTTAAAAGAGGTAATTCAAAAAAATATAATCTAACCTCCTGACCTATAGCTGCTCAGACACTTTATTCCCAGGAACAACATTTATATTCCTTCCCTTCTTCTTAACCTTGTTATGGTTAAGCCACCATAACACACTCCAAACCCTGCTTCACACCATGCTTCTCTGCCACCATCTCCACAGCTCATCGGCAGCCACCCATCCTTGGTGGTGACCTGTGGGATCAGCCCTCCGAGGGATGGCAGCTCCTTGGGAGGAGAGCTCTGGAGTTAGGAAGCTCTTCTGCTTTGCTGGTATCAGCAAAGCCTCACGCTGCTGCCCCAATAACTCATTGCTCAGTTCAGAGAAGGAGATGCTTTGCCAGCACCACAGTTCCTGCTCTCCAGCCAGTCTGGTTTCCCTGAGGCCTGAGACTTGTTTATGGAGACCATAACTCGTGTGAGGTGGCTTTCCCAACTCTATGTGCCCACCTCACAGGTCTCCCCATCTGGATGAGTCTCTGCTGCTGCCTTTTTGTGCTCTATAGCAAAAAACATCTCACTTGACCACCTTCTGATGTCTCCTGCTAGCATGAGACGAGGCGCTCCAGCAGCTGGCTTTAGAGGGCAGAGGATTCAAATGTCTCTTTTGGGTCAGATAATTTATGCCAACACACTCAGGCCTCTCTGTTGTCTCGACAGTTGGTTTCTACACAGCTGTATTTAGGTAGGATCGGGTCATCTTCCAAGGGAACTAAGGCCCATCTTTTGCTGTAATCGTTTATTTTGCAAGAATATCTCCCACTTACTTCCTCAAAGCCTTTCTGATAGCAAACAAGATGAAAATGTAGGCAAAATCAAGTTTCCATCCATCTATAAATGGCAATGGCCATAGTACCAGACAAACAGGTGGCACATAAATAGGTCACTATGTAAATTCTCTGTGAACGTGATGCTGTGTTTTCCATGGCACAGGTAAGCCTTGCGGTTGCATTTGCCTTCCCACTCTTTCTATGAAAGGAAGGCAATGTCGGTGCTCTTTGGGCTTTCCCCACTGTGTTAGACAACTCCAGTTTTTCTTTTTGGCAGTAAAACCACCCTGTTCTGGGCAGTAGAGTTGCCAGCACTTTGCACACCAGCTACCCAGAAAGCTGCAAACTTGGGCTCCTTGCGGGGGGGGTGGATTGGATGACCTTTAAAGATGGCCTTCCAAGCCAAACCCTTCTATGATTCTACCGATCCACATGCAAAAATACAATACTGTGAGAGGTGATTGGGCACATCCTGGGATCACATGCACGTGAACTCAGCAGGACCTACTGAGCTGCGCTGGATGTGGGGACACGACCGGCGGCAGAAGGCGCAGTCCCCTCTGACAGCTCCCCTTCAAGGCTGGCTGCAAACCCCTGGGGCCAGCGCCCACATTTGGCCCACGTGCGCCCACAGCACGGAGCTGGGGCTGTATGTGAACAGCCCTCACTTTTGCATCCTGCTGATTGTGCCGATGATGCTAATTGTCCCATTCACCGTGTCGCCAGGCTTGGCTCCACCACGGTGCACTGGCTCCTTGCGATGGCATGCCACCACCATGCCACGTGGCTGTTCGTGCACTGAAATCCCAGGTACACAAGTAAACATGCTCTTTGAGTGTATATACACATACACACAGTGTGTTTACTTACTACATCTGTATATATACATACATAGTAGATGCTGAGTCATGTGAATACTGGACAATTTCCAGGGAAGCCGGATGCTCAGTCACCAGCCCTCTCGCAGCTTGCAGGCTGTGTAGATCAGAGACTGCAGAGACTGCTGGAAGCCGGGCTATCTCAGGATGCTTTTGATCTGCTGACAAAGGCCTGGAGTACATACAATATTCCTGCCACAGTAACTACATATGCTTACGTACAGCACTACAACCCTCTAGTGGAAACTTGGCCTTATCTGCACCACTGGTGTTTCTGGCCATGGGATGAACCATTCCTTTGAGGTTTGAAGCTTGATGGTGATGCCACAGCATCCACATTTCTGAACAGATGTGGTGTTGTTATTGAATGCTATTTTTTATTATTCCAGCACATAGAAGCCCCAGTACTGAAGCAAGACCCCTGTCCTACCTGTCCCAAAGCAAGCAGTCCTGCTTAGCGCAGGGCCCGAGCAAGCAGGTAACAACCGAGTAGGATAAGAAATCTGTGCGCCCCACTCACAAGGGTTTCCTGCAGTATTTTGCAGATTCCCAGTTTCCCAGAACTTGCAAAATCAGCCTGTGATGCATCAGTTCGGTCCGAGTCATGCCTATGCCAAGTCAAGTTTCCAAATGAGTCTCCAAAGATCAGGAGAGCAGTTCTGCTGGCATGGAGCAAAGACTGACCCTGGGCAACTTCTTCAGCTCTCACCTGCTCAGAGATTACTTTCTTCAAGCAGAGCGGCTGTTTTAACATTCACAGTACCCAATGCCCCGTCGGGGTGGGATGCTGCAAAGCATCGTGCACTGGCCCATGTTTGCGGACTGCAGTGGGAGCAGGATTAGGCCGTGCAGGGCATGCTTGGAAATAGTCCACCCAGTACAGAATGAGAATAGTGATAAAACCATTCCCTGGGTGATTTTACACTGGTCTCCTGTCTCATCCAGGGTGATCAGGGTGAGTGTTCACATGGAAAAGCCCCTCAGTGAGCTGCAGAGCCTGCCAGAGCCCCTGCAGAGGACATGCTGACACCCGGGAGGGAGAAGGACCTTGGAGGCCATGACATCCCTTCAGAGCATCCGGGAGATGTGAACAAGCTTCAGAATCCCTTTGGGTAATGAAGACTGCTGTCCCTGGAGCCATCGGGGAGGGTACAGGACATCTCACCTGCGGTTTGGTGCCTGTAGGGATTTGGATGGAAAAGCAGCCTCTGCACTGCTTCCACACTAACTGGAAGCGAGAAAGAGCTGCTTTTAGCAGCTCTGTTGTGAACACCACGAAAACACATCCTGTGGAGAGGAACAGCTTTTGCTGGTACCCAGCCTCTGCCCCGTGCTGTACCTGCTCCAGTGCAGGGAGGCTGTGGGCAGGCAGGCAGCAGCACTGCTCCATCCATCCTGCCTACCAGAGCATCTCGCTGCTCCCGGCCAGCTCGCAGAGACACAAAAGCAGGCAAAAGTGAGATTCCTGCCCCAAAGGACAAACAGCCTCCACAGCGAGCTGTTTTTCCCCTTTAGAGGAGAAATAAATAACTTTTCAATTTCAGCTACAAGGATCTTCACACTACAAGATGATTTCATCAGACAGATGAGCTCCCGGAGCTTTGCGCTGGCTGAGCTGCTTGGATGCCGTCCGCTGGGCACTTACCATTCATCCCCAGGGGAACGGGACCAGGCACTGATGGGCCAGCCATGATGTGGGGTGTGGAGGGCAGAGTGTGGTTTTCACCTTAAAAATAAAGGCGTGATGACGTTGCAGTGGAGTTAAACTGGCGGTTACAGCAGTGCCGTTTCTGGCAGGGACTGCCTGCGTGCCAAGGCCAAGGGGATGCTTCGGGGGGGCTCAGGACGGGGGGCCGCTGCCTGCTGCGCCACTATTTGCCACCACTCGTACAAGCATACGGCTGGTTTATTGTTCTTGTGTTTTCCCAAGAGAGTGCACTGCTGCCTTCATCCCCAAACAATGTTTTCCGTGCTTTTCGTACAGCACTTCAGGGGGGGAACAGCCTGACCGAGCAAGAGCCCCCTCAGCGCTCTGGGATTAAGCAGAGCAGCGTGACACCTCCTGGCCAGCTGTCTTATGCTCTGCTTTGGGTTGCAGCAAAGGCATTTCTTTTCAAAAGGCAGCACCAGCCTGCCCACGGCACAGGTCCCTGCCAGCTGTTCTGGGGCCATCGTCCTGCCAGCTGCCATGTCCCTGTGCTCTCCCACCTCCGTGGGGACCACGTACCCTTACTGGTAGACAGATTTACTTCTT